AGAAATAATTCGTGGCGACTCTCGTCAAGTTTCTCGTTTATCAAAAACTGCCGATGCTTCGCAAATTCACGCGCTCCCCCCCTTTTTTTTTATTTTTTTTTTTTTTTTTACGTAACGTAACCGGGTCTTCTTTTCGGGGCCAGCAGGTGTATGCGCGCCCTCACATACCTCGAGAATATTATCTCTGTCAACCATCCGCGTGTTTATCCGCATACATATTTAACGAACTCGTTCCTTGCCAGGACACATACCGAGGATATATTCGTCCCGAAGAAAGCATCGATCTCGTCGATTCGGGTGAGATAACATTTAGGCGTTGTTACTTATGTGGTGTCTGTACATCATTCCTGCTACCTGCCTACCCGTTTGCCTGCCTTCCTGCCTTTCTGCTTGGCTACCTGCCTGTACCTACACTTCGCATTTGTGGTGTCAAGTTTTGTCTCATGAGTTAGGTCAGGTCCATTATTGGCATATTAGGATTTTTGTGCCGTCGTGTTTGTAGTCAAAAAATCCTGCTTCGGGTCAAACCTTTCACAACGTTCTTGGCTTATCTCGAAGGAAAGGAGAAAACGCCTCCCTTTTCTTTGTGTTTTACATGTCAATCGGAGTAATGAAAAGGGGTATTTTCAAATCACATTATTTATTAACAATAAGTGATTGTATTCAAATGAAATGACCTAATCAAATAGGATTTAACAAAGAGATATTAACAATGAAGTTTAATGAATGACTGTCTGATTATTTCTCTTTTACATCTAGAATTTGAATAATTCAAATTTATATTCTATTATATTTATTATACCTTATATATATTTCTTTTTCACAATGTACTTTTTCTATTGTGATTACGCCTAAACCTTCCCGGTTTTCGTCAAACAATATTACAAGGATATGAAATTCTATTCAAGCCTTAAAGGGTTGAAATCGAAGAAAGGAATTAGATGAAGGAGGGAAAGCAGAAGCGGGCGAAAGGATACGAGTAGTGCGAAAAATAATTTCCTGCTGCTGATACGCGACGCGATTGAGGGCGGGGGAGAAAAGTTCAGGGGGAGGGGGGGGAGGCTCTTGGGAGATATCAAAATATTATTCGAGGGTTGCCCGCGGGATACCCTTGGATTCTCCTCGCGCCATATAGAAGTCCGCACGAGATCCGAAGTGGTCAGTTATTGCTCTTAGCCTCGATGTACGAGTATTTCAAGCGTATCTGGTGTGATGTACGTATCTTATAAGCTTCGTTGCAACCGTTAGAGAATACGGAATGGGTTACTATTTTCGGTTAGTATTGTCACCATCTGTATACCTAACGTACAGATGTTTTTCTGACTCGGATGAAGATTGATTGGCAAAGATTGACGGGACCCTGTTATTTCAAGCAATTGTAAATTTCGCAAATTTTCAACATGAT